AACGTAAAATGATGTTTTATATTAACGTACAAGTTTCGTAATGAATAAATGAAGACTATATTCAAATATCAAAGCCGTCTTCGCGCGAAAACGGCTCGCCGGCAGCCTTGTTGTCGTTCAGTCAATGTGACCGGCAATGTGCGGGTCGTGGTGCTGTATCTAAAGCTAGGGAGGGGCGGAGAACGTCCGTTCTCTTTACTTTTTGTTCTCTGCATATAACAAAATTCCCGAACTGAAAGTTGCAGCATAAGTGTAAGCGTGGATCATAGATAAAGAAAATATCTATGGCGTGGACCCACAAGTAAAACATTTTCGTTTACCAGTAGGATTAGTACGTAGGACTGTTCCGATAGATATCTTATTTAAAAGTATATGTCCAAAATATAACATTTTAAGTGCTTTTAATATATTTTTTAAATATTGTTAGAAGCTCTCCCCCCTATTATTGTCAATCCCAAGGAATTTGATCCACAAAGTTTCACCGATAACTTTGGAAACATATGAAAGTCGTGTTTTGTCCAAGAAAATATAATCTTGAACAAAACACGAGTTTCATAAAGGCTAAAATTTAATAACCATGTCTAAGAAACGACGTTAGGTATAAAACGCCCATTTAGTTAAGCTAAAAGGAGCTTATGAGCTACAGTGGACGACGGGGCGACGTAGCAACGTACCAGTAACGTGGCGTAGCGACGTAGGCGGTTACGGCGTGCGCCACTCGCTTTACACTTATTATATTTTACGACTAATTACCTGAGATGCCGCCTCTCGGCGCGCGACCGCATCACCGCGCTTCTGTCACCGACCTCTCTAATATCATTTAAATTCACCACAAAAGAATATCACTGTTCTTTCTTAAAGTGCTTGCAGTTCCTTAGTCTGAGCGCATGATTTTTCTGTGTCACGATACAACAACAACTTTCACTTTTCAAAGTACTTACGTAGTTAAGTACATACAATGGAAGTAACTCATCTTTGAGAAAAGTCCTAAATTGTTTAACGTGAGCTTTTAGCTACTCTCGATTACCGGTAAGACGAATCATAATAATATTAAGGCAAGCATACTATTTGTTCGGTAGTCACAAAGCCAGCGAAGCGACTACAGCGGCCCTTATTTGTGACATTAGGCACACCTCGTAAAAAGCAACGAGGCGGAAACAAACGCGCTAATCTAATATAAGTCGTGTCTTCGCCTTCGCTGCCACTAACAAACAAAAGATGGAACAAAATCGTGTGTACGCACTAAATATTCCAAACGAAAATCAAAGGATGAATACTTAATTTCGGGTAATGATATCTTTGGACTCTTGTTATAACTTTACAGTATGAGCCAATATAGGCCGTTTTAATAATTGAGTACCTATTCATTTGATTATGTTAACATACGTAGTCGTGTTTGTTTTGTTAACAACCTATTTAAGAAGCAATGACTTTCCAATTCTTATATATTTTCATTTCATAGATAAACAAGTTACACTTCACAATAGTGACATTAACTGAGTGATTGCGACTCATTTGTAAACAGATTCCCCTGAAAAGAAGACGAGTGCGAAACGCCTGTGGTTGCTCCCTGTAAATAGAGATTTGTGCACATTTGTCATTTGCAATATCATAGATGCCACAAATCTGACGGGTCATTACAACGGATTTTTGTCATCCATGTGCGCAGAGGCTGTATATGGATGCACTTTAGTGTAAAATGTTTGTTTTTTGACACAGTGAAAGTAATTTATTTAAAAAAATAAACAATACTGCACTCAAAGGCTTACCTCATCTGGCAATCGATCCGATGAAATGCGAAAAAAAATATCGAGTATTTTTGTGATGCCGGTCGAAAGAGTAAATTATAGGGATTTTTAAAGATATGTCTAAACTTTCTTCTAAAAATTAAATAATGTCTCCATGAAGCGCCCTGTGAGACGCCCGTAATAGAATAGTATTATATTTGTAAAGACGACTGTCAAGTTTCTATTTTTGTGTTCTGATTTTAGTCATTAAATTGTGAAAATAGCTAAACTGGCGGTTTCTACAATTGAAAGTTTTCATGTTTTTTTGATCGGTTTTACTGAGCTGAGCCGCTTCGACATACAGTTATAAAAATACAACTATGTCTTACAAGGTCCAATATTTCATTAAATTTATAATTATGATGTTTGTCACCCTCTGTCCAATCACTCACTCAATCAACCAATCTACTAACACTTCGTGGTCAAATCAAAATAAAAAAAATCAAAAATGTTTTATTTTCAAGAAACAATCTTTACAATTTTGTGGCTCGAGAATCCCTTTTAAGTAATGAATTATACTTGTGCTAGGGATTCCCGCTCTTCCTTATTCTAAACAATATCTAAATTTAAGATTGTGTGATTAAGTTTAAAGAATATGGGCTTTAATTTGTACAAAAGGACAAAGAAAAGAAAATTAAAATTAACAAAAGATGATTAATATCAAGGAGTAAAATGTGTGAGTAGTGAGTGAGTGAGTAAGCGTGTGTGTGTATGTGTGCGAAGTGTGTTATTTGTGTTTGTGGTGATGTGTTTGAATGAACTGGATATACGTGGGTTTGCAAGTTTACAATATTTAATTTAAATAATCTAACGTGCAAATATATATAATAAACATACATGATCATATATACAATATATATATACATATATACGTATGTATATATATATATGTATATATATATATATATATATATATATATTGTGTGTATATATGTATGTATATACATTTATAGATATACACAAAAAATACATATACATACATATATACACATACCTAAACATATATACAACAACCAATGTGTTAGTAACGTGTGAGGGATTTCGTGTTTATTTTTGGTGAAGAATTATTCCAGCTCTTATAAAAGACGTTCTGTATCCTTATAATCTAATGATTGTAACCACTTTGAGAGCGTAGTTTTCAATGTCAATGTCATACAAGTTCAATGGGTGCAGATTTAGTACTTTATTTATACAGATAAAAGGACTGTCGATTAAATTGTTTACTAGCAAAGGTGGTACGTACAGTTTGATATGGTAACACAAGGTTTTTTCTTCTTCTCCTCAAAATTATGGTGTTATTGTTCTTGTACTTTTAACATAATGTTAAGTACGTATGTTTATGCGTACTTCTTGCGATATGCGAACTCAAGCGCGCAGTAGTGGCAATTATACTAATTGATAGGTACCTGCATCTTATTGACAAGAGGAAGCCTAATTTTGTACACAGCTTGATGGTCTTATGTTTGCAAAGACGTTAAATAATTGAAAAGACTATGGTCTCTAAGTAGGTATTACCGACTCTGTAGAGAGTCAATTGCAAATATCTGCCATAAAAGAAATAAGGCAATTCACGATTTTAATATAAATTGCTTACGTTAACGATTTCATACTAAATCACTGGTAATCCAGACCAAGAGAGATTTTATTTGTACTCACATTATACTAAGTATGTTAAAGCTAAATGATTTTGTAGCTAAGTAGGTACATTTATTCTTCGGTATAACCAATAGATAACACTTATATAAATAAACTACGAACTTTAATAATTTCGTGAAATTGTTACAACACACTTCGAGACTCTCTTAAAGCGAAAATTTTGGAAACATCTGAGGGATCCCAAAAAAATTTAAAATTTGCTCACCCGGGTACGTAATAAAGGCTTTCGGAACGGCACAGGAGAGCGCTACGTGAGCGGCGACGAGAATATTGAATATTCATCAATCACCAAAAACGACGTAGCACAAACATTAAGTCTCAATAGAGTCAGTGGGTAATAACCGATTCGTACGAGATTCGCGGGCACAAGTTTCATTATGTTACGCTCATTGTGCTGGCTCCCTTAGGAGAGGAAACCTTCCGACTCGACGGTACGCAATCCCTTTTATATACATCTCAGGAAAAGTCGTGTGGCGGCAAAAAATTCGACAATATACGAGAAAAATAGCGAGCAAATGGATTTTCCGTTTCTTGGAGATGACGTCTAAATCGTCCCTTTTCATTAGAAATGGCAATCCCATCAAATTAAATGTAAAAAAGTTGAGCCAGGTCTGGCGACATCTTCATGTTCCAAAGTTATGAGACCACGCACCATTTTCATGTTGTTTTTGTTCTTTGATAAACTTTTCATTAAATAAACTATTTGTATGTGATTTGGCAATTACGCAGCAAAAGGCTGTGATTCTACTCAATACTCAATATTTTATTGCAAAACCATAATGTATACAATAGGATTTTAATAACACAGAAAACCAATATTATGGACCCCGTCGGACACGCAACACAAAAGAAAGAAAAGGAGAGAGGAGCAGACCAGCTTAAAAAAATGTTTTTAACATAAAACTTACATGTTAGTGACTTTATGTACATGTATAACAATAATATATGATATACTCGTATGTGTATGAAATAATAATTGTTATATGTATAATTGACTATAGAATACTATTTATATTATATTTATGTTTATTTGGTTCCTTTTATTCCTATGGCCGTAATGTATCATCTATGAATTCATTGATATTATAGTTTAATTAGTAACTCTTTCAACTCTTTTGTAAATTGAATATCATTACTTTCGTTTATTAAGGCATTTGGTGATTTATTATACAGTTTTATAGACAAAATATAATGTACTTGTATAGTTTAGATTCAAGCGGGAAGGGCAATATTAATTTATTTTTACGGTTTTGATGGAATATCCTCACTTTTTGTATAAAAGTGTTTGTATTTGCGTACGAATTTACACATCTCAAAGATAAATATAAACAAGGTAAGGCAAGTACATTATAAATTTTTTGAATACCTAGAAATTTCTTCGTGCTGTTAGGTTGCCAAGTCACAAAATACGTTTTATATATAAAGATTTATTAGATTTATATGTTAAATGGAGCATACCTGTGTGAAATTATCACGAGTCTGGTTTTCTTCCTTTACATTTAATATAATGTAAAGGAAGAAACCTAACCTAATAAAAAGTAATAGTAGAGTAAAAAGTAATATTGCACAGTCGAATCGTTTTACGTAGGTGTTTTTTCTGAAAGATATTTAGCGGCCAACTGCTGCTGGCTGGACTTGGTTGCGCCACCGGACAAAAGGGCGAGGCCACGGAAAATAAATTTAACTCCGCGATGCAGAAATCTCAAATGGGTGAATGCCATCTGCTGCTACAGGTAGCGTAACCATTTTAGTGCTTTTGTGATTTGATGATTGTCATCACGTTTTTGCAGTGAATTCGCATACACTTTTGCATTTCACATGTTTCATTTTAACAAATCATTATCTCAAATGACCTTATGATCTTTAGTATATACCGCTCCCCGTCCTTCACAAATGCCAGCGGCTTCCTTCGTTCTCTGGACGCTGTCCTATGTAATGCCAGGAGTTTGCGTAATATCATAATTACTGGCGATCTGAATCTCGATATATGTTCCGTACCTTTGAGTGAGCAGTGCTCAGAATACTTATGTATCTTAACAGAGCACCAACTGCTGCCAGCTATCACTAAGCCAACCCGAGGTGAAGCATGTCTGGATCATTGTTTTGTAAAAAAGTCTGAAAAGACGGTAGGTATGGTTTGTCTTAGTGATATAACAGACCACTACATCTGCGTGGTAGGCACAAAGATCGGAAAAACAGATCGTCCCACAATTGCACGATCCCGTCTGAAGACGGATAACGTTGCTGTAATGGAAGAGCTTCGCCATGTAAACTGGGCGCCTATCATAGACACTTCTGATTTTGACGAGGCAGTAGAACATTTTACAAATATTATTGATTCTGCAGTAACTAACAACACACGACAGTTTACCATAACTGCCTCCGTGGCCGAACGGTTACCATACCGGACTGCCACGCAGAGGTCCCCGGGTTCGATTCCCGGACCGGGAGAAATATTTGTATGGCCTACATTTATTTCTCTCGTGAGTTTGGGTGTAATTTGTGGTTGTCTATGTGTGTGTCCATGGCACCCGCGACACAGGGTTTCCCTAGTGCGGGGCTATGTTGAGTGTGTGCGTTATTATTATTATAAGTCGTTCTAAATTTAATCTCAAACCGTGGGTCACCCTGGGTCTTATTAAATGTCAGAGGAACCGTGACCTACTACACCTTAAAGCCAAACAAAACACCTCGAATAAAACAGCTCAAAGAATCTATAAAAGATATTGCAATTTTCTTAATGGTCTCTTAAACAGACTCAAAGCTAACTATGAAAACGAAATTCTTTCTACAAACAAAGACAACTCCAGAAAGCTTTGGTCCCATATTAAAGAAATATGTCATATAAAGAAGGTGCATAACCTTCCAACTGAACTAGCTTATACAAAGTCAGACCCTCAGGCCTCTCTCAATTACTGCAATAATTACTTTGCTAATATCGGTAATAACCTGGCCAATGTTACCTTAGAAAAACTTTCCGTTACTCAGACATCCTTAGCAAATGCGGTTAACATTGAGTCGTCAAAGCCAGACTCCTTTTTCATGAACCCCACTGACATGGACGAGGTTAGCAAACTAATAAGCGACTTCAAGCGAGCTAGTTCACCGGGCATTAATAAGTGCACTCCATTACTTATTAAAACAATAAAAGATATTATAGTAATGCCTTTAACCATTGACTTACAAATAAATGGACGACGGGTCTAATACAAAAACCACGGAAAAAATGTCCCAAGTCAACCTATTCGAAATTTAAATTGTTATGTCATCGCAGTATCGCGCTGTCCGTAGAACAAATGAAGACTAAAGCGGAGTGTCGCGCTCTGTATACGATTTTAGCGCCTTACAAGTGCGGACACTTTTTAGCGCGGACCCGACGTCCATATAATTGTAAGTCAATGCCTTTAACTCATATTTTTAATCTTAGTTTATCTACTGGTGTTTTTCCAACGATCTGGAAGGTATCCCTGCTCACCCCAATTCATAAGAACGGCGACAGGAGAGATCCATGTAACTATCGTCCAATTTCACTGCTAATAATTTTCTCGAAGTTACTGGAAAAATTGGTAAACAGAAGGATTGTAGCTTACCTCGAAAAGAATGGGCTCATACCTGATAGGCAATTTGGTTTCAGGCGTGGTAAATCAACAGAGGATGCCGTGTTACTCCTGACGAATCTGATCTCTTCTGCCTTGGACAACAACAGACGCTGTCTTGGGGTGTTCCTTGATCTCACTAAGGCATTTGACACTGGGGTAATGCCGCCGATATCAATAGAATCTTTGTCCTGCAGAAACGTACAGTTAGGGCAATTTACAATCTGGGCCCCAAAGTATCTTTGAGAGATAAGTTTAAGGAAATTAACATTCTTACACTAGCCTCACAGTACATTTATGAAAATGTAATTTATGTTAAAAGGAATAGTAATTTATTTATGAAAAATAGTGACAGACATAACATTAATACGAGGAATAGAAATAAACTAGCTTTTCTTGATAGTCGTCTTCACAAAGTCAAAAAATCATTTAAGGGGCAATGTATACGCTTTTATAACAAGATTCCGGTTGATATACAAAATTTGCCTTTCACGAGGTTTAAAACTATAGTGAAACAAAAACTTTATACTAAAGGTTATTATACAACTTCTGCGTACTTGGATGACAAAAATCCGTGGTAGTAACCCGTTTAGCTCATGGAGGTAGTCTCGATCTCTGATGTTTCAAATAAAAAAAAAATATTGTAAATGTTATTTACAAAGAGCAACCCCTAGAGTTTCTTGCTCATTCTTCTCAGGGGAATCTGCCTTACGAATGAGCGGTAGAGTTTAACCATTGTGACGATTTCAAGTGTAATAATGCTTACCTATGAAATAAAGATTATTTTGAATTTGAATTTGTCTCCATTCCAATACTTTTGCAGAAACTTATCCGAGTAGGTATTAGAGGAGTAGCACACAATTGGTTTAGTAGCTACTTAACGGATAGAAGTCAATGTGTTAAAATCGGCTTGAAGATGAGCGACTGCGGTATTACCCATATGAATAATGTACTCAAAATATACCTAGTCTATTGATTTGTTCTAAAATCAAAACAACCTTCATTGTCATTTTTTTATGAATAATACAATATGATATAACGAGTTTTTAGGTTTTCGCGATTGTTATACGAAGGAAATGAAACTATTTTTCCAGATTTATATCGCGTACATTTATTTTTTCATACAAACCGACGTTTCTGACCCTTTTCTGGGCCCATGCTCACGGTTGACTGAAATCGATTTAAATCGGGAAAAATAGTTTCGTTTCTTATGTGTAATAATTGCGAAAACCTAAAAACTCGATATTTTACAGTAATTAATTAAGATAATGGCTACGGTGATCCACAAACAATTATTAACATTTAATTTTACAGGTAGTCTCGCAACGTTCCCATTCTCCGTAATAGAAAAAGTACTATATGTACATACGTATAAGAACAGTGGACTTATACAGGTATATTAAGAAGGATAATTATGCCACTATACGCCAACATTTCCAAAATGTTCGTTGAAAAGAAATAAAACAGTTCTGTACCATTTACTTTCGGTAAGAAAAAGTTGTTAAAACTTGGATAAAAAGGAAATGCTCGCGAACTTTCATGTTCAGGTAGCTTGCCGTATTGTGGAAGTTGCCAACTTGCTGGCGGATAAATAAAGCCCAAATAAGTTATAATGGCGAGTTCAAGCTGAATTACGAACATTTCTCACAATGTACTGGATATTGTTTAAGTTCCCACCTACAAAATGAATTAATAAATTGTTTGTGATTAATAAGCTGATACAATTTTGTTGTTCCTTGAAAGCCTTTTACTTGTTTTGTACTGTAAAGGTTAACGTGAATGTAAATATCTACCGAATATTAAGTCTTAAAATTATTACTCAACATTTTGCCGACGTTCTTAAGGTTTTGGGAAGTAAGTGAACTATTTAAGTAATTAATTCAAAAATATCAATTATAAAGATCAAAGAGCGGTTTGTCAGAAGATGCAAAGGGGCGGCCGATCGCTGCTAGCGCCTGTCGCTGTTCCGCGAAATTCAAAGGGATAAAAAGCTTCATCCTACCTAATCATCTTCAAACAAGCCTGTGTTGTGTACTTTTTATAATTGTATCGAAGCGAGGCTATTGGTTTAGGGTTTGCTTACTCTCTCTAATAAAGAGGCTTTTTGCTTGTTATGGGTTTTGCTCTTGTTTTACGTTAATGGGTTTTTCCTTTACCTATAGCTGATGTTGTGCCTGGTACGTACATTCTAATAAGATTAGGTTCAGGTGCACACCATAATGAAATTTGGGTTCGGTTAGGTCCTCCTCATTGAAAAACATGTAAAACGATGAGTTGCGTACGAATAGTCGCGTAATTTATAGATACAGCTAGACCCTACTAACAAAATGTAAACGTAAGCATCTAAAAGTCGATCCAATCTGCGTGCAGACAATCTCGGTTGGCCGTGAGCCAATGCGTAATATACTTACCAGTTTGCTATATTTTGTTTACTCGAAGAAACTGAGTTCTCCTAGAATATATGGAGTTCTAGTAGGTGAATTATTTTGGTAACTCGATAGGTATACCGATAGTAGACTTCTACTTCCTGCAATGTTCCTCTGCTATCCCACGCAACTAAAACTTAGATTGAATCAATGCATCAGTTTAATGTTACCTAGCTAAATCGAAATGATCCCAAAAGTACAGTAAACCAGATGTAACCAACCTTTGTAAGAGTCAATCAAGGAAATATCCGACACAAATAGCGTCACACTCATATTGCATCACGTCGTCGTCACTATCTAAGTACGCATGTAGACAGTTACCGGTTATGCTCGCACTTATTGTTGGCAGAACGCCAACGCATAGACACAGGAGGGTCCACAGGACATATCCTCTGGCACGGGACCAATGCCTGCAGGATTAGTAACACGCGAAGGATTATTTCGATAGCACTGAAGTACAGACTAGAGGACGGGCATTGAATATGTTGTTGCCCATATTATACATACCTATATATTCTATTGAGAAGAATTTACAAATAACTTACAAAACTAAACAATTAAATTCTCAAATTGATGAACCTCCCAGCTAGTCCGTATTAAACAAAGTTACCTAAAGTAGCACTTGTAAACTTACCAAGTTACAGAATCTCTAACATTCAATTTAAACATAATATAATTTAACTATTGTATTATTACTTATTTATTTTGCTAGCTTACTAAATCCCACAAAAGTTAAGTTGACCATTGTCCCCGCCGCCGCCGCCGCCGCCTTTGTTCCCCTTAATCGCACGCTTATTCATTACGCTCCCCTCCTGAAATAAACATGGATCTCAACATAAACAAAATCAAAAGAAGAAAGTAGAACAGCTATATATGGGTGAAAATTCATGCGCTAAGTAGGTACCTAACCTATGTCGCGAATTACGGAGGTGATGAAATTATGGGTATTTAAATAATGCCGAAGTCAGTATACTAACTTTCATTTGTATAATAATACTATAACTAGTATTGAGCATATCATAGTTATTTATGAATTACGGTACCATTGTTTAGGCTCAGACACGTGACAGGTCTCGCTTTAACAGAACGAATGAACAAATCGTTCGAAATGGGATATTTGCCTCGGGACTGAAAGCACGTTATACATAGGGCGCACTATAAGTTTCCGGAACTGGCCACTTACATAAACAATATTTAAAAGTAATTTAACATTTGAAAATGGAACTCTTTGGCTGTAGATTACAGTTTTTATTCATCTGACTGTCACTTGTTTTTACATTGTGGCGTCATTTTAGAAATTGGTTGTCTACATCACCATGGATTTAACTCGTGAAAATTTTCATAGTACGATTTTCTACGACTTTAAGCATAATTTAACAGCTCAGCGGAGCTTCACTCGGCTTCAAACTGCTTTTGGCGATAAAGCACCATGCAAGACGACTATTTATAGCTGATTTGCAGAATTCAAACGCGGTCGTGTGAATCTCCCTTCGAGGGTCGCCCTTCCACTGCTGTAAACAACAAAATCATCGAAGCTGTGCGCCGTATAATCAAAACAGACAGGCATGAGACATACCATGAGATTCGGGCATTTTATACATGGACATGAGTCAAATACAATCAATACTACACAAATGGCCTGAATTCATACTTAAAATTTATGTGTGTCTCAACTGTGATTCAGATGAAGAAATGAGCGATGAATAATATTACTGATGAATAAGAATGTAGTTTTTTTTAAAGTCAGTTGTGCATAATATAACCATTACATACAAACAATTATAAAAAAAGGTGGTTTTATTTAAAAAAATCCTTGTTACCCCGTGATAATTTAGGCGGAACAATTTGCCTCAAAGACGGAACAACGCGCCCCAAAGCGGGGCTGAATGTTCCGCTCCGAAATTTGTCAAAAATTTGCCTCTATGAAAAAGACTATTGAGATATTAGTAGACGTACTACTATACTATTACCAAAAGTGATAAACATTTGTTCAATATTTCCACATGTTGAAAATCAAACCCTTCATTTTCGGTATAAAACTTCAAGTTATTTGAAAATCGGAACGTTCAGTCCCGCTCTCCCCTACAGTCCCGACGTGGCACGTTGTGACTTTTATTTATTTCCAAAAATTAAGAACCAGTTACGCGGTCAACGTCACCTGAAGAGGCTGTCGAAGAGTATGAAAAATATGTTTTAGTGATTGTCACGGAGGAGTGGCATAAATTTGTTCATTCGTATGAAAAAGTGCATTAACGTTAACGGAGAATATTTTGAGAAACAATAAATTCATTTCTGACCATTTATAGTATTTTTTTCTTATTCATTCCGGATACTTATAGTGCGCCTGACGTAATTACTCAAATTTATAAAAATGGAGACTAGACTCAGCCTGGAGATTTTCATCCAGTAAGCGTTACCAGTTTCTGGTCAAAATTATGGTAAAAATTATTAGAGATCAACTGAACCAGTTTTTGAATCGGGAATGTACCTATAATGTCAACCAAACAACACGGATTTGTATTAGGTATACGGAATAGATCAACTTATTTGTGAATTAATCAATTCAATAAAAATTTAAAATGTTACAAACTTTTTAACATGTGTGAATGCAAAGAGCAAAGAACTTGACAACAAGAACCCTGTGGGCGTAGTGCACCTGGACTTTGAACGAGCTTTTGATAAAGTTATTAAAGTTTTTGCTGACGATGGAAAGTTTTTTACAAATCCTGGACTGGACAACTTCAAAAAGATCTAAAGAGTACACAAGACTGAACCAAAGATTGGATTATTAAATTGGAGAATGCATTAAAATGTAGCATTTCGCATCTCGATAACAATAACGGTTACATTATATAACTTACATTAAGGGTCGTATTCCAGAACTCTATTCAATGCTCAAGTCAGGACTTGAGTATGATTTAAAGCACTGAAAATCATACTCAAGTCCTTGCCATTAGGATCGTATTTCCAGTGCTTGAAATCATACTCCAGTCCTTGCCATTAGGGTCGTATTTCCAGTGTTTGAAATCATACTCAAGTCTGCTCAAGCCCTGACTTGAGTATTGAGTAGAGTTCTGGAATACGACCCTAAAATACCTTAGCTTCAGTCAACATTCAAATAGATGTTTGAGTTAATGTCGCATTTAATTTAAAGTAGGATGAGCACATCACTATCATAGTCAAGAAAACTAACTGCTTTATATTTATCGTACGCACATCATTCAATCTTCCTGAAACAACCTTCTTGAAAGCGGTCAGAGGAATGCAACTAAAATACCACTGGTTTTTCGTCGCAAATCTTATGAGTTGAGACCACGCGTATATCGCCTCACTGCTCTGGAGGAAAGATGCCTCCGTGGTGACCTCATCGAGATTTATGAATTTCTGATGTACCGATACAATATAGCAGACTTACGAAACATCTTTAAAAGAAAAGAAACTTCAAACCGTCACGTGTTCACCACCTCACTACTTCGTGCTCCTTTTAAAACACCTGCTGCACATTCTATATATGTATAATCTCGGCTTCACCAAACGGCAATCTAAGTTTTTTGACCATCAACAGGCGATTTGTAATTTATATAACGCCTTCGTTCGAAGTAAATTGGAAGATATACGCGCGCAGTGTAGAATCCCCATAATAAACTCTATATTGCAATGTTAGAACGAATTCAGAAATAATATTTGAGTTTTGTATAAAAAACTTTATGGGACTATACTTATATGCCTATACCTATACATTTTTCTATATCTATACATTTTTTTGGGAATGGTGTCGCATTGTGATCGCGAAATTTCTAAAATATATTTTTAATTTAATAAGAGAATATACAATTAACCCTCATTTATTGGCTCAAATTTCTTTTTTTATCCCGCCAATATCACGTTACGTCCTTCGTCAGCGCAAATACACTCTTTTCAATTTTCATTTGACCCGCACAATGACTAGGACGGACTCTATTCTTCGAAGCCCTAGCAATGATATTGATGTGGTCAGTAACACTGAATAAAAATTTTTAACATACGCTGGTTAGGTACTATTTGGAGACGGTCATCGCCCAAAGCTCTGTGGTCCAAATCCCGCAGCTTATCTTTGGACGGTGATCGACTCAACCTTTATATGACTATGACTTATATGTTTAGTTCTAATTGTAAGTGTAAATTGTACAAAATAAATAAACATTATTTTTTCAGCAACAAAGTGGTGTATAAGTGGAACATGATACCGAAAGATGTTGTCTCTGCTGTCTCTGTTAATGCCTTCAAAAACAAGCTATAGTCGTCACCAAATAAGAGGCCAAATTTGACACTTGTCATCGTAACGCGAATAGGGATCTGGACTAATCACATTGTACGATTTTCACGAGAAATCAATTCAAAATTTTAAGAGTTTGTGATTGTTTAGATTATTTTTCGGTTCATTGTTGTTCAGGGGGCCTAAAAGGCCAAATCGTGCAATTCTGTTAAAAGCAATTCATTTACATAATTCCTTGCAATTCTGTAGCAATTTCTCTAATTTTCATAAGATTGTCCCACATTCCGATGAATTGTATCCAATTCTTTTAATTTTGATTTTTTAATATTCATAAATGGTTAATTACGAGAATTTAGTGTAAATAAGTATGTTCGTCGATGATACAACTACATAAAAAGTAAAAATTATCAAGAAACCAAGGATTTCATACATTTTCAATTATTCGGCTGGCAATAAGTTAGAAGTTGTCAATGTCAAAAACAAACAATCTTAAAAATAATGTTCATTATTTTTTCTAATATTTTTAAAACATTTTTTCCGAGAAATCGAAGTGACTTGGTGAAATTCGGCGATTAATTGCTTACAACAAAACTATTATTTAAAAAAAACAGCTTGAGGACGTAACTGGGGGTTTACTCTCGATCTCCGTCCGACATCCGTCCGAAACAATTACAAATAAGTAATATTCGACAAAATTAAAAGACACGTATCAAGTATGAAGCTTCATTCGCATCAGGCGTCTTTTCATTTGGTCAAGTATTGCTTATTTGGCAGTAATTGTTTCGGACGGATGTCGGACGGAGATCGAGAGCAGAGCCCCTGTTTTCAGGACGTTTCGGGGTAACTCAAAATTGCATTTTATTTTGGAATTCGTGCGAAAACTACTTCAAAAATGTTTTGTCATATTATATAATGATTCAATAAAATTTATGTATATGTTTAAATCTCAATTATGCTAATAATTGTTTGTTTATTGTTTCGTTGATCGCATTCAAAGTTACATACTATCGCCTTCTTTAGCTGTCAAATTTGGCCTCGTATTTGGTGACGACTATAGGTACTGACAACTGGCTGGCTAGAGCGAATCAGTGCTAAAAAGTCAACTGAATCCAAAACACACGATATAAATTTGAACACTGTGTGATGTAGACGTACTAGCAAAATGTGCTCGTCATAATCATAATCAAATAAATAAAATAGTAAATAAAATAAAGATCACAATTTTTTAATATGTACTGTAATCCAAAACCTTAAAATAAAAAAGAAAGGAATTCGCGGGTTTTTTTACGTCATCTGACATTCGCTTTCGTAAAATAATTTCGATATATTTTGTATTAAGTCTATCGATGGACTAAATTAACATTAGAAGAGCGATTAAAAAATTAGTATATATGAACTGTACTCACGATTAATAATTGAGCAAACTTGAAGTGATACTAGTGTCAATAGTGTTATAGTAAAATGACTTCGATGCTGTCTGCTGAACTTTCGGCGACTTGCAATGCTCTTGGAACTTTTGATAAAAAAACGGGAAAATACTTGATAGACGAGTATACTCTGAACACTGTGAAAGATCTAATACGATACTTGCGTCGAGATGGCGAAGAGCACGAGATCCGACGACATCTCGGACAGACGAAGGTGTTACAAACCGATTTGTTACCTATGCTGATTGATCATTGGGAGAACGCTGAACTCTTCGATGTCACTTTGAGGTTGGCTCTGTTCACTGGCATTGTTCGTAGCGAAAGATATTGCTTCAAAAATTCACATAATTCATTGCCTATTTTTACTTGTGCCTACAGCCATTGCGCAAAGACGTGCTAAATTCAAATTATAGACTAAAGCAAGTCTCAGTTTTTAGAGTCATCTTGTATACAAACAGTCGTTTAATCTTATTATGAGTCGACTATTTGAAATTGAGTGGTTTTTAGTAACTTAGTGTACTTTGTTGGAATTTAGCCGCACAAATCAAATAAATGTTAATTGAATACTCTCTAGGCTCTTAGTGAACTTGACAAACCCAGCACTGCTTTTGTACCATGAGGAAGTGCCTGTGGAGAGGACTGCAAGGCACAACTACCTGCAGATACTTTCCCACCTGCAGAACTACAAAGACGAAACATTTACAAAGGTGGATACTTGGAATGTATTTGCTAAGAAGCTTGCGAAGATACTGGAGATCGTGAGTATATTTATATTCTCTTTATAAATGCTATTATTAATAGGCAGTTTCCAATGATAAAGTTAACACCTCTGTCAATTGCTGGCAGCTGCGGGTGAATTACTTCTGTAATGATTTGTTCAAAATACATGTATGAAGCCACAGTTTTGGTAAAAAAAAATTTACATTTATTGACACTAACTAGAAGTTATAGAAATATTCATTGATTACTCTTCTAAAAAACTGGACTGAATTACTTCGGTAACTGCACTGACTTGATGACGACATCACTGTGATTAGATTCTATGTTTAGAGTCACTTTAAATTTTCTCTGCATGGACTTGTAAGCATTAGAGACAGAATGCGTAACTTTGATCCAAGTTACTTCATTGTATTATTATCTCAACTATTATTTTTAATACTTTGCAAATATTTATACAAATGGAAGTAAATTTATTTGCTACCCTGCGAACTCAACGAAGGTTAAACCACGTAAAGTTGCTGTGCTTGTGTTGAATATTTTTTTATGTAGTTAATTTTCCCACCTTTTCTTCACATAAATTTAAATAAATAACACAAGCATAATTACAGTCACAGTCACCACCACCAAAAATATAACCGACACGTGTTTTGCCTCTCTACGAGGCATCCTCAGGGTTTGTTGATTATCCGACGCTCGGCCAAGAAACGCCAACGAAGGGAAATGAACTGCCTGAAAAAAATATTCAACACAAGCGCAGCAAGTTTACTCTATTAACCTAGTTCACTAGTAGCAAATTAATTTACTTCCATTTTTATTGACATCCACAAAGTAATGCCTGAATCTATTAATTATTTAAAAATTTTTTTTATTAATTTAATTCAATATTGTAACATTAATAGGATTGGAGCGAAAGAGATGAAGACACAGGTCTTGTAATTGAAAGAATTCTGATTCTGATCAGGAATGTGCTACATGTGCCTGCGGATCTGGACAGAGAACGAAGGCCTGAAAATGATGCCAGTGTCCATGATCAGGTAGGAATTGAAAAATCTCCATATATATAAATAATAAAAATTAAGATTAGCTCCTCCTAGAGCTATTCTTAATTTTTATTATTTATAAATTATGGAAGTACTAAGTTAATACATAATTATAACTTTTAGGTGCTCTGGGGACTCAATCAATCAGGAATCCTGGATATATTATTGTACATGTCCTCGGAGAACGAAAAACAGTATTTCATGCACATTTTGGAAATTGTGTCGCACCTGCTGCGCGAACAGAATCCCAGCGCGCTGGCCGACGCGGCGCTGCGCCGTAGTGGCCAGGAGAAGTTGCGCGATGATCAAGAGCTGTTGGCCTTGCGGGCCTCCGAGAGCAAGCAGCGGCTTGATAAAATTAGACAGTATTCTGCTGCGAGGTACAGACTCGTGTAACAAGTTCATAATTCATGAGCTATTTTTGTATTACATCATTAAGATTTGTATTACATATAATAATGAGAGTTACAATTAGGTATGACTACTTCTGCATATGGTTGCATCTCATTAATTTACAGACAGTAATGCAATCAGCCACAGCCAACAGTTTGTGTACTTTGAAACTGAAACAAACAGAATTTTAAGCTGATTGAGAAAATCATCTGACAGCAGTACAACTAGTAATATGGTTTGGTGCTGAACAAAAAGAAACCCATTCTAAAGCTCTGGCTATTTTTAAATTAAATTAAATCTTATTAATTTAATTAATTGTAAAATCTAATATATTCTTACTAAATGAGCACTACAACATTTAATCCAATGTGTTTTGGGAGGCCAAGGTACACAAAGGCCCACAGCTTATGAAGCTTTGAGATTACTGGTTAATTTGCTGTCCAGGAATATGTGTATAATGCAGCCATGGATTCTATCACACATCAGATGAGAAGGCAATGAAATAGTAGATAGTTTTAGTTAGCAAGAGAAGCTATCACAGAATCCAGGGAGCCGTCATATAAACCTCTTGCTGCAGAAATCATCCCATTTGTAAGAGAGCTAAATATGGATATGTGGATTAAAATCTATGGCGAGATTTCTGCAGTGAAAGGAATTTGGTACAACACTGTTCAAGTGCGTCCACCGCGAAAACCCTCGTTTGTGGACGGAGCACTTTCTAGAAATGCATTAGTCTTGGCTTTTAGACTAAGTACTGACCACCTTCCCTCAAATAAATTCTACCGTCTAATAAGAAGAGTAGAATCTCCACTATGTAAATTCTATAACAAACTTGAAGATTTACTACATTTAATGGAATGTGACCATTATGTAGCTCTAAGAAACCAATTTTAATTAGGGGATATTTGGCACATTGGGGAGTTAATAATAATAATAATAACGCACACACTCAACATAGCCCCGCACTAGGGAAACCCTGTGTCGCGGGTGCCATGGACACACACATAGACAACCACAAATTACACCCAAACTCATGAGAGAAATAATTGTAGGCCATACAACTATTTCTCCCGGCCCGGGAATCGAACCTGGGACCTCTGCGTGGCAGTCCGGCATGGTAACCGTTCAGCCACGGAGGCAGTTAAATACTCATATGCGAGCCCTTGTCTCCATTGCGAGGAGACACGATATGGTAGAATAATCCACAGGGATTGACATCACAAGGCCGACATTGACACCCAAGTCTTAAGGCTTTATTAAAAATAAGATTAAAAAAAGATCGCATGGAACTTTTCATATGAAATCTTAATGCTTTAAATTAAAATTTTGATCTTATTCTATTCTATAATCTGTGTATTAATGCAACAAAAATGACTCGGGATATTAACGGCGTATATGATGTCAGTACAACTAATGAACATATAGTGTATTTTTGTTTTGCCTGACAAATGAGCATCCACATAGACAACTAGAAACACAGGGAATTATGACGAGTCGTGAGCTGTTGAAATTGATCCATCACAAACTGCAGAGGCATTAGTAACGTAATTTGACTGTACTAACCAAAATAGACAATTGGCAAAAAAAAACAATAATGGGTAAGACATGAAATGTCCAAATTACAATGGGCCTCCCGTGTTAAAGCTTGCACTGTCTTATTGAATCTACTCATGACTTGTGATGAAAAATGGACTCTTTGTTGTAATTGCAAACAGTCAACAGTGGTTCAACCAAAATGACAAGCCCTGTGTCCAAAAACGAAACATACCCATAGAAGATTGTTGTAACTGTTTGGTAGCCCAGCTACAGAATAATCCACCGTTCATCCAGCTTCCTTTGATCTGGTACAACCATGACAGCCAATCAATTGATGATATTTTGATTACATAAATTTTATTTTCAACATGTCTCAATGTGGCAGTTTCCTGTCTGCCATTTCAAGTATCTATTATTAAGGTGACCGTTAACTGGTCTATTGTGATCGATCACCACTAGTCTAATTACAGTTCGAAGCCAAGGTCAACAGCATTAATGGGCTGAAGGACTTTCTGGCTCCAACAGTTCTTATGTCCTCTCGTGGCCTGTGCTTTCCCCACTATGAAATTTCGTACGCTCATGAGGGGTGAGGAGATGCTCTTCATCCACCTCAAAGTACACTACACTCTCTATTTTCTCTCTGCCCAGTATTTAAATGTGCTCGTTCGAGGCACAATGGCGTATTAAGGCTCTAGTCAACATTCTGATGCCATTCATGTCCAGTGACAGCTTCTCTACAGTGTTTGGCATGTAGGCAGCTATTAGGGTTTTCGAATGCTCAAGACCCTTGTGTGTGTTCAGCAATCTATAAAGGGTTCGGGACCAATAAAGGCTTAGCACCAGCTTTTGTCAATTCATCAGTTGCCTCATTACCTTCTAATGGTATGTGGAATCTGGAGGACTACGCTAAATTTAAAGTTAAAAAAACTGCCTGGCTTCGATCTCATAAGAAAAGAACCTTAGAAGAATGACTATTATAGTATTCTTAACAATACTGTATAATAAAAGTTTAAGAGTACACATTCCCATTTACCGTTCGAAAGTCTCGCTTAATTTTTATGATCTATACCAGATGGAAATACCAAAACCCCTAATCAAATGACGTTATACGAACCCATTAATGCATTATAGAAGTAAATCAGATTTGTGATTTACTATTTAATCGGTCCTTTTTCAATTCAATGCACATGTGGGCGTGTAGTAAAAAGTCATCTGAAACATATTCTTATCATCACTAGGCATTCTCGGTTTGGAGGCACTTATGTGGTGCAAAACATGAAGTCAATATCAGAAAACGAGCTGATCAGCTTCAAGCCGCTAACCGAGTTCTCCAAGCTGGACTTCAGCGGCAGTAAGAAGTCAAAACTCGTGAGACCAAAGAACAGGAGACCCGTCGAAAGCGGAATATTGGAGAGGAGATCGGCATTCGCTGTAAGGTAAAAGTTCGGGCTGTTGCGTTAGGACAAAATGCAGCACGAAGAGATCACTGCGAGTGTCGTCGATTTCAGACTGTTCCTGAAGGAGTTCTGCATCGAGTTCCTGAACAGCTCGTACAACCCGCTGATGCGCCACGCGAAGGACGTGCTGGTCCGGGCCCGCGCCCAGCAGAACGACGAGTCCTACTACCTCTGGGCCCTCAAGTTCTTCATGGAGTTCAACAGGGCGCACGACTTCCGAATCGGACTAGTCAGGTCGGTGCGTCGCCGACGTCGTCGGTCGGAGAGGAAGCCGACGTCCGACGTCGCCCCGTTCACGACGACTACGTTTTCCACCGCAGCGAGACCGTGTCGGTGCCGACGTTCCACTTCGTCCAGCAGCAGATGGAGAAGTACTGCGACACGCTGAAGGTGGAGAAGAAGCGACCCTGGCCGTGGGTGCGGCGCCTGCATCTGGCGCTGCGGGCCTACAAAGAGCTGCTGCAGACGCTGTGGGCCATGGGCGCCGACGCCGCGGCCGACGTGCGTGATTCCGCTCGTGTCTTCCAGAGCAACATCTTCTACGTGCCGGAGTACCGCGAGTTCATCCTCGCCCTCTTCCTCGATTACGACGAGACCAAAATGCCCAGGTCCGTCTTCCGCCGGGTCAGGAGGAGGCGCCGAGGGCGGACTTGTGATTCGAGCGCTCTCGCCGCAGGTCGTACTTGGAGGACTTGCTGGAGACGGTGCACCTGTTCCTGAAGATGCTGGAGCGCTTCTGCAAGAAAACGGGGCTGGTCGTCCAGAAGAGGGTCAGGAAGAAGGCGAAAAGTAAAAGTATGCGTCCGAGTGCTGTCGCCGCAGAGAGGCCGCGCGGGGCCCCCGCCGCGCCCTGGGAGGCGGCGCGCGCGCAGCTGGCGGCCGTGCTGCGGCGAGGCGCGCCGGCGAGGGCGCCCTGCGACGCCGCCGCGCCGCTACCACGCCAGAGGTCCGCGCTTGTCTCACCTGATGGAAAGTGACGAGCGTGCACACTCTTCACTCTCGCCTTCAAAATGCCCAAGTTGTAACGTTCAGGGAACAAGTTCGCAGGCAGGGAATTCCACTCCGTAGCCGTTCGCCACATAAATATGGAAGCGTAACGCTTCGTGCGAATCTTTGGAATATCCACAACACAACGGTGAAACCCAAGCCTACGCCTAATCCTCCGGTGGTGGAAAGGGGAAGGCGGAATTACATCGTGTAGTCCCATCGCACACTCTCCGTGATATATCCTGTAAAATACCGATAAGCGGGCAACTTTACGGCGGTGTTCAATAAGCAAATTTAAGCCTCTCGCTACTGTTGTCAATTGAATCCAAGGTGACCAGTTGGTATATAGAGCCATCCCAAAGACGGCAGCAGTACTCCATGCACGACCGGACTTGTGCTTTGTACAGCTGAAACAACGGTCCCGGTGTAAAGTAACGCCTCACCCTAGAAAGAATCCCAAGCTTCGTTACTGGACGACTTCGTGATATATCCGTATGGATATATCATGAAAAGTCGGAGTCAGCTCAAAAGAACTCCGTTTTGTGGAGAATAGACACACCTGCGTTTTCGTAACGATAAATTGGCATGACAAGATTGGCATCGCCCCAATCGGGGACTGTCTTGAGTGTCAAATCCAAAAGGCTAACCGTGGACTCTCGACAAGACTAGATTTCCTCTCCACTGAGAGTCAAGTTGGTCAAGTACCTATCTACAACTGTGCTGTCATCAGCATACGCAAAGGTACCTAGAATTAACATCATTGATATGCGGCAGAAAGAGAGTTGCAGACAGTACGGAACCCTGAGGAACTCCGGCTATCTATCCCGGTATTCGGTTCTCTTTCTTTTAGAATTCGAAATTATTTTACGGTGACTATTTTACTCGATAAGACGAACGGCGCCGACTCCTATAACACCGTATTTTTATTAGCGCGGAAGCTTCCCTTTATTATTATTATTATTATATAATACAAATATAAAAATTTATTACTGTTATTATACTACTGGACGTTAAATGAATGAATGCCGTAATTCAGTATTGTCGAGAGTCCACGATTAGTCGTTTGGATTTGACACTTACGGCAGTCGGTGAGACTAATCTTTATTTCATAGGTAAGCAAATCACACTTGAAATCGTCACACTGTATATAACGAAGTGTACAAAGGAAATATCGGGGGACTATATGTAGGCTGAGGTCCCATGTTAATATGGCGAACGGCTATGGAGTGGAATTCCTTGTCTGCAGGTGCCATTACTTGGGTCTTTTCAAGGCGAGAGTGACTAGGCATCATAAGTAAGTGTGCATCCTCCATCGTCACTTTTCATCAAGTACGGCTGAGGTCAAATACGTATTTATTATTTATTTATTCATTAAAAAAATATGTTTCTAGCTGACAATATCTTAAAATTAGTTTTTTTTAACTGTGATGTTACACAATATTTCTTGTTTATACACCAAAACATTCGTCTGCCACGTGGTGAATAAGAGTTGGGATACATTTCATAAAAAAAAATTATTTACACACATATCATAAACCCTCTATGATGTGTTCAAAAACCGCAAATTACGACCAGCGTGAAGATAAACTGTTTTGTTAAAACAAATTTTTTATCTGTGAAAATGTTATTATTGCATTAAACGCTTACCGCGAAAAACCAAGAGAAATGAGAAAAAAAAACATCAAATTCAACTTTATTATTACATTCAAATTTCGAACATCTCTGAAAAACAAAACAATTTGATTTGACGTCAATCTCAATACCAGTCGAGATGAAGTTTTATTCGAAATGAGATGTCAATAGTAAAACAAATTTGACAAATTTCACACGTTACTTGATATCGAACGATATTATAGTTGGGGCTGACTGTAGTTTATCTATGAATTTTAAAAAACTACGATTGTGTGACATGCGTGAGAAAAGTTTTTGTTTGCCGCCGTTTCGTCAGCCGTAACATGCGATTCTTCAACACGTCATAGAGGGCTTATAATATGTGTATAGATAATGCAGTGTGTGTAACTACATAATTAAGCATTAAAACCTCATATCGTTTCATGAACCTGCACTCGTGTTTTGATGCCTTTGATTATGTAACAGTCCTAACCTTTATGCTGGTCGTAATTTGCGGTATTTGAATACATTATAGGGAGTTCATGTATAGGTAAAGTATTATTTTGTTGGTTGTAAATTAAACATAAATTTTGGAAGCGCAAGGAAAAGGTGTACTGTTTGTTTTGCAGGGAGGATTGTATGAAGAACATCCAGAAGAGCATGCGAGAGTTCAAGTTCGAGGACGCCGTCGGAATGTTTCGCGCCGCAAGGTCGGTCGACGCTCGTGAATCTTTCGATTTAGTAGTTCTTTCTCCGTTAAACCGATCTTGTCTGCACCAGGGAGCTGTGGCCCGAAGAGGGGATCTTCGGAGCCGACGGAATCGCGGAAGACGAGGAGCTCGAAATGCTCGAGACCGTTTACAACGCCGATTTGGGCGGCGACGACGCCGTCGGTCGGTACCTGTTCGTCGTCACAGAGATGAACAAAAAACGGGCGCGGGCACTCGAGTTAGAAAAAAGGAAAATTCGTTGCAGAGCCGGCGAGCGAGGGCGCGGACGAAAGGCGAGACGAGTCGGGCGGGGACAGCGAAGAAGGTACCGCGGGGCGGTCGGCGGTCGCGCGCGCGGCGTCGGGTCTCGAGCCGCGGAATCGTTCGGTTTCAGGCGAGGGCGAGGGCGCGGAGGAGACGCGGGCCGAGGCGGACTTCGACTTCCTGGAGTTCGTGCACCGGTGAGTGTTTCGGGGCGGGCGTGTCGGCGCGGGCGACGCTGACGGCGGCCTTGCAGGTGGTGCCAGCCGCGCGCGGTGGGCGCGTGCGTGGCGGCGCTGCGGCACCTGGAGCGGCGGCCGCGGCCGGCGCACTGCGCGCTGCGCCTGCTGCACCGCGTGGCGCGCCAGTGCGGGCGCGCG